CGCCTATTAGTCAAAATCTAATGGACATAGCCTCTATTTCGACGGGGAACTTAACCCTGAACTGAAAATACCAATTCCCACGCACCTTTAAACTGAAAAACTTGTCTCCAATGTTACTTCACGGTCTTCGGAGCACAAAAACTTTCTGCATTAATAAATAAGTTCTACGCTATGCCACTTTACACTAATCATTTGAAAGATCTATTAGAGTGAAATTCTCAACGTATCTAGAACAGAGAGGCACAGACAGTGTGCAATGCCAGAGTTGGTAACCGTCACTAAGAAATGGATTCGAACATCGTATCGTAGTGTTGGCAAGGCTCTGCTTCAAACTCTAACCATTTCATTTTAATGTAGAACTGGCATTCAATCAAGTTATCCCAACTGATTTGTTACAAATCAAAACCGAAATAAAGAGCTGAACGTGAATCTAACTCAATTACTTAAGGAATATCCTCGATAATCCTTATTCAAATATATTTATTGAAAATTTTTGAGATAAGAATTTCATTCACATCTCAGTAGACTCGACCTAATAAAGGTGAAGAGATTCCATCCAGTAATGTAGGCGCCATAGAAATGAACAAAAATCTTAAAACTTTGTGCTTAATTTAATTCGATAAAATTCCATTGAATTATAATTTGTTGTTACGGATTGGCTCACTTCCTTCAAATAAGTTTTAAAAAATTGACGTTTAAAACAGCCGATTGAAAGGGTGCCCTGGCAAGACAATGTAGAGCTTTGTTTGGACCGAACGGTTTAAGGATTACTCTGTGATTATGTAACGAATTGCATCTACTGCAAAATATTGCGCAATATTGTGAATTCAAATGTTTCAGAGAGCTGCTCACATTCATTTATATCATCTAAGTATGTTTCATCTACTAAAAAATATGCGGAATAAGGCTGGTGAGATTGAAGTGTCGTATTCCGTGCCGTATTGAAGTGCCGTATAAATGCGATTAGAGATTTTTCAGCGATCCAGTAAGGATAGGCATAAAGTATGGCTGGGTTAATGCTTAAACGAAGCTTTTCGATCAGTACTGTTGCACAACAACTCGTCAAGATACCCATTCAGGTTCAGTTTAACCCAGTAATTCAGCCTGTTTAGTTATTCCACATGCGAACGATATCTTGTTTCCCGTACTGTTGTTGATAATGATCAAGCAATTACCGTAAAGACCTCATTTTATTTTCACAATCATCAATTTGATTAATACAAATACCATATAAAACCCAATAATTTTGCACATTCACATGATTATTTTCAAAGAGAGTTTCATCCAATATCAATAATCGCCAACAATTTTCAGGTGCACGGTATTGAAGGACGATACGCATCCGCACTCTATTCTGCGGCTTACAAGCAAAAGAAACTTGATGCTGTCGATAAGGACTTTAAGTCTATCCGAGAAGTTTACAAGATGAATCCAAAATTTAGGGTTCGTCTTCACTTCATCCTTTATCTGCAGTGCAGATTCATTATTCGAATTCAGAACAGCACAGAACAAGCAATGCATTCTGTAAAAAATAAAGCAACCAATCTCTAATATTGCATTAGTCGTTCGAATAATCTTCAACGATGCTTTCGATATGCGATGAGAAGCGGGGAAGGACGGCGTGAATGGGACATGTGATCTCAAGTCAGTATGGATTTAATGAGTCATTCAAACTTTTAGGAATTCGTCAAGGATCCAACACTGAAACCAAGTAATAAAAAATCTGTCATGGAAGCGTATGCTAAGAAACTTGGAGTCTCCAAAGAAGTCGAAAACTTTTTAGGTATGTCAAAAAATGATTCAATCGTTTGCATTCGTTGAAAGATACAGTTTTCAAGAGAATCAGTTTCATTGCGCAAAATTATGAAGCCACACCAGGATGTATAAAGTCATGACCATACAGGTCATCAAAAAATCATCGTGCTGATTATTGTATCATAAAAACTATTTATGTATGGGCAGTTGGAAGGAATCATGTTCGTAAATTAAGATTGCACTGCACTAGCATAGTGTGAGATAAGCACAATATCCGGAGTATCGGATCAGTGACGAAACTTGTGTTATTGTAAGGAAATCAGCTTGTGTTTATCTTGAATTAGACAATTTCATCATGCCTTCTCAATGCAGTATGTGGGAAGGAGCACCCTGAAATTTAACTCGAATTGCTTTCATGGGTTAAAGCGATCCTAAGCATGACATCTCATGGCTATCACATAAGATTATCGTTATATCTGCTTGCTTAAAGCCTTTGAAGCGTTCAATTTGAGTATGCGTTTCATTCCTTGCAGAATTTTATTATGATATAAATGAGCAATACTACGATTTATTTAATCTGTAAATATTCGCCTTCAGAAGAATTGTAGTCAATGTGTTCATTATGTAATTTGTTGAAATGAAAAATATTCCAGTCAAAATATGAGAATTCCTACAGAAGAATATTCACGAATTATCAATCTGCCTTTTGTTGTTCATCACTTTCTTTGTTTTCCTGTTTTTTCGCTGTCTCCTCCATCATGCGTTCTTGTTTTGCAGCTCGCATTGCGTTATCGTAGACTGGTCCGTAATGTTGTTTATACCACTGAAATTCTTAGTTTCCACAAGACTTCCTTCTTCGTTCTTTCCACTCAAAAACTTGCACTCGAGATAGATTCAGTGAAAGAAGCAAGAAAAATCCCAAATGATTGAAGTAACCTTCTGCATCTGTTCATCTTTTTCATCACGGAACAATTGCTGCAGTATTGAA